GGGGAGCTACGTGCAGCAGCACCGATGTCCTCTCCTGCATCCTGCACCTCCTGGGTAAGGGCACACTGAGACGCCATGATGACCGGCCACAGATGCTCTTCTATGCAGTTCCAATAACCGTGATGGAACCTCACACCGAGTCCCTGAACCCTGGTTCGTCAGGCCCCAATCCACCTCTCACCTTCCATACCCTGCAGATTCGCTCCCGGGGTGTCCCTTATGCTTCCTGTACTGGCACCCAGAGCTTCTCCACGTTCCGGTAGCCCTGGAGATGGGGTCCAGGGCAGGTGAGGCTGGGACTTTCTACAGAAAATAAAACATGGGAATTTGATGATCTGACTTGTGTGGTGACTGCTAGAGAGAGGTGAATGGGGGTGGTTCTCGTTGATGGGGACGGAGTCCTCTGGCATTCAGGCAGTCTTCTGACTCACCAGGAGTCTTGTCAAGGTGAGGAGGGTGGACTGGAGAGCAAAGGAAGTATCAGGTGTGTCCTTGCAGGGGAATTCAACAGCCAAGAAAGGGTCTCAGCCCCTCCTCAGAGGGTGTGGTCAGGGCTTTGACCGGGCAGGTGGACACCATGCCCACTTGGCCACATGCTTTGCAATTTGCATGTTACCAAATAGGGCTTCGCTTTCCTCATCTGTACAGCTGGACAGGAGTGACTAAGGGACTCTGACAAGTAACAGGTGGAAGCATTGATACGGGGAAGGCAGACCCTGCCAACCAGCCCACGTCTGTTTTAGCTACCACTCCCAGTGCCAACTACAGTCACTGCTGCCTTCCCTAAGCAAGGGTAACAAGGTAAAGACCTCTGCAAGTGCCCCAAACCTTGCCCATCTTCCACTGCTGGCTCAGGACCTGGGCTGGAGGCAGTCCTAGGAGGAAGCGTAGCTTCTGTCTGCCTCCCGCCGCTGTCGTTGTCCCGTACCCCCGTCCGTACCCCTGTCCGTACCCCCCACCCCCATCCCCTCTTTACTCCTCCATCCTCCCTCCCTCCTCCAGCCAGGAAGAGCTGCACAGACTGTCCTTGGGTTCCTGCCTCCAGCTAGCCCCTAGGCAAGCCTGTTGCTTCATTGAGGCTCTGCTGCCAGGACTGGCTAGCCTGGCCCCACCACACTGAACCAGCGTAGGACAGTCTAGAAAGGCCCAGTGCCGGGGCAGACTCATCTCAGTAGGGTGCAGGAGAAAGCAGTCTATGGCCCTTGAAGATCAACAGTGACAGAAAAAGTAACAGAGTTGGGGCGAGGGTGAGGAAGTCAGATGGTGAGGGAGGGCTCAAAGGCCAAACAGAAGGAACTGGATACGGCCCAGAATAGACTTGGAACAGAGGAAGGGCAGAGAGGCCGGGGTTTGGGAGAGAGGGAGTTCAGACAGAAGCAACAAGAAAAGGCATGATGGGGTGGGATGGGGTGGGGTGGGGTGGGGTGGGGTGGGGTGGGGCGGGGCGATCTAGTGGACCAGAGGGCTAGCTTGCTTTGCTGTACAGGTCCCATGATACCTTTGGTCTGTTAGCCCACAAGTGCTCAGGAAGGCCAGATCAGTGGGCTCCGAGTACATGGGGGTTGTCATTCGTCACTTGGGAGCCTTCCTCCTTCAAAGCAGAGATCATGGCTTTTTAAAAATATATAATTTATTTTATATCCATTGGTGTTTTGCCTGCATGCATGTCTGTGTGAGGGTGTCAGAAGCCCTGGAACTGGAGCTGCAGACAGGTGTGAGCTGTCATGTGGGTGCTGGAAATTAAATCCAGGTCCTCTGGAAGAGCAGCCAGTGCTCTTAACCACTGAGCCATCTTGCCAGCCCCGAGATCATGGCTTTTTAATGGCTCAAGTCATATTTTTGAACACTACTTTGCAATGTTAGACCAGACTGCCCTAGAACTTGAGTACCTCAATCTCAGCTCAGCCTCCCAAATACTGGGATTACAAGAGTATGGCATATGCCCAGAGCATGCACTTCAGCTAGTGGCAAAGTGGCAAAGCTTTGTCCCTCTCTGGGCCCTGGTAGCCAAGCCTGCACACACTTCGTACAGGAGAGGCTAGGCCTCCATTTCCAGCACTGCCACTGCCCCAGGAGCTCTGGCATACTCACTAGACTCAGTGCCAGGGGCATAGCGCTGCTCACCTCACCAACCGTGGGCAGTTTCCATCTAGCAACACACGCGAGTCACACACACGCACACACAATGTTAGGCATTAAACTCCTGCTAGGGAGGACACTACCATTCTGCTGTGTCTCAAGTTCATTCCTTATAGGAAGTCCCCCAAACACACACACTTGCTTTGCTCTTAAAATCCCTCCATGACTGACTCCTCCTGAATTGCTGGTCATCCTAATCACACAGCTCACAGCCCTCCCAAGTACACAGCCTAGTTGATTTGCTTATATCCAGAGCATCAAGTCTGACTCCAAGGACAACCTCCTGACCAGGCATGAGCCTGTTCCTCTGGATCATTCATTCCTGGAGGGCAGACAGGTGCTTCACTTCTAACGGTGACTCAGGGGAGAGTTATGATTGCTTATGCACCCACACCTGGTTGAGGACTTTGACTTGTAAGGTCCTCAGTCCCCCAGCTCCCAGTCACATATACACACACACAGAAACAAAAACACAGGGACTGGAAAGATGGCTCAACAGTTAGGAACGCTGTCTGCTCTTCCAGAGGATCCAGATTTGATTCCTAGCACCCATATGGCAGCTCACAATCACCTAACTCTAGCTCCGGGGAATCTGATACCCTCTTCTGGCCTCTGTGAGTTCCCAGGCACATATATACAAATGCAGGCAATATACCCACACCCATAAAATAATTTTTAAAATTAAAATTTAAAATTATCAGGGGCTGAAGATGGCTCAGCGGTTAAGAGCACTGGCCGCTCATCCAGAGGTTCTGAGTTCAACTCCCAGCAACCACAACGTGGCTCACAACCATCTGTAATGAGATCTGGTGCCCTCTTCTGTCCTGCACGCATACATGCAGGTAGAACACTGTACATCTTAAATAAATAAATCTTTAAAAATAAAATAAGGGGCTGGAGAGATGGCTCAGAGGTTAAGAGCACTGACTGCTCTTCCAGAGGTCCTGAGTTCAATTCCCAGCAACCACATGGTGGCTCACAACCATCTGTAACGAGATCTGGCGCCCTCTTCTGTATACATAATAAATAAATCTTTTAAAAAATAAATAAATAAATAAAAAATAAAAATAAAAATAAAATTCTCAGCTCATCCATCTTTTAAAAAGAGAGGAAAGGACCAAAAAACAAAAACAAAACAAAACAAAAAAAAACCCAAAAACCCACCGGGTGGTGGTGGTGGCGCATGCCTTTAATCCCAGCACTTGGGAGGCAGAGGCAGGCAGATCTCTGTGAGTTCGAGGCCAGCCTGGGCTACAGAGTTCCAGGAAAGGCTCCAAAGCTACACAGAGAAACCCTGTCTCGAAAAACCAGAGTGGGGAAAAAAGGGAGAGGAAAGAACTCTTACACATAAAATAAAAACAAATTCTAGATGGTTATTCTTATCTGAAAATCTCAATTGAAGAAAAACAATCTATTCTAGGCCTTAAGAGGAACATCCACTGTACAGGCTAGTTTTTATGTGGCCTTGACACAGTTGTGTCTTCTGAGAAGAAACTTTGAGAAAATGCTTCCATAGGATTGGTCTTCAGGCAAGTCTGTGGGGCATTGTCCTGACTGATGATTGATATAGGAGGGCCCAGCTCATTGTGGGTGACGCCACCCCTCGGCAGGTAGTCTCTCGTGGTGTAAGAAAGCAGGCTGAGGCCAGGTGTGGTGGCGCACACCTTTGATCCCATCCCTGGGGAGGCAGAGGAAGATGGATCTCTGAGTTGAGGAGAGGAAAACACAAAAACAAAAACACATGTCCTGAGGATGGATGTGATAGCACATACCCATAATCCTACCATGAAGCAAGACACACTGCTGTAGCAAATGCTGTGTCTCACTAGATATGGGCCCAGAAGCAAGGGAGGCCAGTGGCCATGGACTGAAGTCTCTTCTCAGGTGTATGCATTAAAAACACTGACTAATATAGTACCCCCAACATCCCACTCTATCGAAAATCAAGTGATTGTAGGGCTGATTTACACTTTAGACATCTTTTCAGGGCCTACATTTAAGATGGAGAAGGGCTTGATCTGATTCCTCACACTGTAGACCCCCACACAGAGCCCACTAAACGTAGTTCTAGGTCTTCCTTTAAAAACAATGGAGCCGAGCGGTGATGGCACACTTGGCCTTTAATCCCAGCACTCGGGAGGCAGAGGCAGGCAGATCTCTCAGTTTGAGGCCAGCCTGGTCTACAGAGTGAGATCCAGGACAGCCAGGGCTGCTACACAGAGAAACCCTGTCTCGGAAAAAAACAAACAAAGTGGGGGAGGGCTGGAGAGAGAGCTAGTGGTTAAGAGCACTGACTGCTCTTCCAGAGGACTCAGGTTCAATTCCCAGCATCTATACGGTAGCTCACAACTGTCTGTAACTCCAGGATCCAACACCCTCACACAGATGGACATACAGGCAAAACACCAATAAAATAAAAATAAATAAATAAATGGGAGGGGGGCTGTAGAGATGGCTCGGTGACAAGTGTGTTCTGTTCTTGCAGAGGACTAAAATTTGGTACCCAGCATCAACACTGGACGCTCACAACCACCTATAACTCTAGCTCCAGGGGGAAACCAATGCTTCTGCCCTCCAAAGGTCCCTGCATTCATGTGCACATACCTACACACAGACACATACACATAATTAAAAACAACTTAAAACAACAACAACCGCCGGGCGGTGGTGGCGCACGCCTTTAATCCCAGCACTCGGGAGGCAGAGCCAGGCGGATCTCTGTGAGTTCGAGGTCAGCCTGGGCTATCAAGTGAGTCCCAGGAAAGGCGCAAAGCTACACAGAGAAACCCTGTCTCAAAAAACCAAAAAAAAAAAAAAAAAAAAAAAAAAAAAAAAAAAAAAACAACAACAACCAACCAGAGTAAAGCGAGGAGTAACAAGCATGTTTTCAGAGTGGCTCTTATGTAAAGTCCTTTCCCTGGAGCCGGGAACACAGCCCGTGCCCCTTTTCTTTTGAATCCCCGACTTAAGGAAAGGATGGCAGGAGAGCATGAGAACACGATGAACCAGATGGAGAAAGGCAGTGTGTCTTGATGGAGGGCGGAGCTCCTGCTGCTGTACAGCCCTGGCACAGTCCCAGAGCAGGCCAGTCTTCTGAGCAGCCCAGCTGAGGGCGAGTTGTGAGGCTTGCCTTTGAGCAGGGAAGAACCAGAGCTGGCCAACCCCAGATCTGTCCCACAGATCCAGGTCTCCCTGGGACAGTTCCTTCCTACTCATTGCTCGAAGGGAGATGCTTCCTGTCCTTGCCTGCATTCCGGCGCCTCTTTCGACTCAAGAAACTCTCCAGTTTCTTGCTGCGTTTCAGCTCCTTGAACTTCTCAGCTAGGGCCAACTGGCGCTGCTCAGCTAGATAAAAAGGAAGCAAGCTGGTGAGCGAAGGATGAAGACCTTTCTTAGTCCTCCGTGCTGGGCCGTGTGTGAAGCCATGGTGCACGAGGGACATGGGAACTGCTGTGTGTGCTGTGCTGGTGAGCAAACAGCTTCATGGATGCCAGGCCAGGGCTCACTAATGAGCTATAGCCCCAGCCCAGTGAGCCAGCTTCTTTCCCCTTGTGTTAGGAACTGAAGCCAGGGCTTTGCTCATGAGAGGCACTACCACGGAGCTATCAAACACCCCGGCCTAAGTGGACTTTCTTTTCTTTCTTCCTTCCTTTTTTTTTTTTTTTTTTTTTTTTTTTTGGTAACAGGGTCTTACTTTGTAGCCTGGCCTGACCTGGAACTCACTATGTAGACCAGGCTGGGCTCAAACTATTAAGAGATCTGAGTGCCCCTGCCCCGAGTGCTAGGAGTGAAGGTGTGCCCTACCAAGCCTGGCCTCTAAGCTAACTACTTTTTACGACTCAAGTCTTACTCATCTGAACCAAGGTGGGCATTTAATAAGTGGAGATGCAGTGAGATGGAGATAACAGGGACAGTAACTGACTTTGGTTTTATTTCTTTTGGGGGGTGGGCAGGGACTCTAGTCCAGATCAGTCTCCACTTCTACATATCCAAGGGCAACCTTTACCTTCCCATCCCCCAAGTGCTGAGATTGCAAGGATTCGCCACTCTTCTTGTTTGATGTGGTGCTAGGGATCAAACCTAGGGCTTACTAAATGCTAGGCAAGCACTCGCCCAACTAAGCCACACCCCAATCCGCCCACAAACATCATCTAATTTCGGATACAAGACTGATCACAAGTAGCACTTCCCTATTATTCCTGCTGCCTCCAAGTTACCATAGGTCCTTCCTCAAAGGAGCTCATGGATCCTGGTACCATACCCAGCCCACTCACATTTCTTCAGGAAGTAGGGCCGATGGCCCTGCTGTGCCAGAGCCCGCCGCTCCTGCTTCAGGGCCAGGCGCAGCTCCTGCTGCTGCCTCCGCTCCTGCTGTGCCACGTCCTGCTGCTCCTGAGGACCCCGGGTGAGAAGGGATGGGTGTGTGAGCAGGATGGGCTGTGACTCACCACCTGTAACCGCTCCCGCTCACCCACTGCCACCAGCACCCACCATTCGCTGAAGCAGCTGCCGCAGCTTCTCATGCTCCTCCCCTGAACGGTGCTTCTTCAACTGCTTCCTCACGAGCTCCACGGTGGAAAACGAAGAGCATAGTTAACATTCTGTGCCAAGCACTATTAGAAAAGGTTCACATGAGTTAACACAAAAACAATAAACAATGTGTGTGATGTGTGGTGTCTGAGGATCCAGCACAGTACTAAATATATATTCTAGCACTGAGCTGTAGCTCCCAGCCCCGGGCCCTTTCTTTCTCTTACTAGCTCTCTCTGTCTCTGTCTCTGTCTCTCTCTCTCTCTCTCATTTTAAAATAATTGTGGGGCTATGTGTGTGTGTGTGTACATATTCAAATGGAGAGAGGACCTGGGGTTACAGGCACACAGATGATCATACCAAGCTTTTTATGTGCATTCTGGAAATTTGGATTCAGGCGCTCATGCTTGCAATATTTAGCCACATTTTTTTCCCTTTTTATCCTTTTTGTGGTTAGAAAACTAAAGTAGCCAGGCGTGGTGGCACACACCTTTGATCCCAGCGCTTGGGAGGTAGAGGCAGGAGGATCCGTGAGTTTAAGACCAGTTTTGTCTACATAGTGAATTCCAGGAGAGCCAGAGCTACATAAAGAGACCCTGTCTCAAAAAAACAAAGAAAGGAAGGACGGACGAATGGACGGACGGAAGGAAACAAGCAAAGGAAAGCAAAGCTGGTAAAGTGGCTCAGTGAGTAAAGGCACTTGCCACACAAGCCTGAGGGCCTGAGCTGGACCCCTGGAACCCACATAGTTGGAGAGAGCTGAAACTGACAAGCTGTCCTCTGACCTCCACACACAAAGGGTGACACATGCAGACCTACACACCAAATAAATACTGAAACACCACCAAGTTTAATCAGGAAGAGAAAGACGGTTATCACATACTCTTTTTGTTTGTTTTGTTTTGTTTTGTTTTTTGAGACAGGGTTTCTCTTTATAGTCCTGAATGTCTTGGAAATCACTCTGTAGACCAGGCTGGTCTTGAACTCAGAGATCCGCATGCCTCTGCCTCCTGAGTGGAGGGATTAAAGGCGTGCGCCACCACTGACCCACAAAGTCTTATATTCTTATATGCAGATGCCATAGTCAATTTCAAAGAAGTACAGAACAGTGGCTATGAGAGCATGCGAAGGTATGGGGAGGATGGGGATGCACCTGGATACGGAGGAGGATTTCCAAGGTTTGGTAGTACATCAGATAACTATGGTTGACAAGTAAGTCAATCCATTATTTTGTTCACTCTTCTTTTTTTGGAGGGTAAGGAGATGATGTCTCATGGTCCAGGGTAGCCTCAAATTCTCTATTTTCCTGCTTCTGCCTTACATCCCAAAGTAGCTGGGATTATAGATATGTGCTGCTAAGCCTAGCTTAACTGAGTATTTCAAAATAGCCAACAGGAGGCTTTTGACTGTTTCCAACACGAAGAAATGATTCAGTGTGAGAAGTGAGACCTATGGCAGTTACCTTGATCATTAAACACTAAATACATGGACTGGAATGCCATCCTACGCCACAAATAATAGTAAACACTATGTATCAACTTAAAAACATACTCATTTAAAAAAAACTGAAGCAAAGGGAACTAAGCAACTTGATCACACGGTCACAAAACTGATGAACCAACTAACAGCAAACAGATCTGCACCAACATGCGCTCCCACTCCTCTTCCTGACTGTCCAGCATGTACTCCAGTTCCCGCCCTCCAGGAGTGGATAGGCCAGTTTCATATTACATACCTCTTTCTCCTTGGCTCGGATATCACTCAGGAATTGGTAAGTTTTGTCAAATATCTCAGGGTTATATTCCCCTGACAGATCATCAAAGCGGGGGTCCCGGGCTACCTTTGGAAAGAGAAGAAAGAATACAAACAGCTTGTCCAGCCTCCCTCTTTTAAGAAAGTGCTGTTCCCTGCCCTTTCCTCACCTTTTTACTGATGGGAACAACCTGACGTAAGAACGGCACTCGGACTTTGGCTGACATTTCCAGAGGACTAAGGAGAAATAAAAGGTCAGGTAAGTACACTTACAGTCTTGGGCGAAGACTGGCATCTTCCCACCCAAGAAAACAGACATCTAATCAAGGTCCTAGGTTCCTTTTGGCTCCAAGGGCAAGTTCCTCACCGGTGCTTATCTGCAACACACACAGGTTGTCTGGGGCTTTGCTTCTGAGTGCTCCTTCCAGCTACCAACTGTTTGTATGCCTTGGGTCCCCCTTGGCTCTGTAACTCCAACAGCTCCTCAAATGACATGTCAGATGTGTCTGCTGGAGGGAAAGGTCATACCACTCTGGTCAGTACCTCCCAACAGCAGGAAAGACTTAAGTCAGGCTAGAGCTGGTTCAGCAGATGAAGGACCATGCTGCCAAGCCTGACCACTGGAGTTAGAGCCTGGAGTCACCATGGTTCAGGTAGAGAACGGACTTGCTAAAGTTGTCCTCTGACCTCTACATCCTCACTGTGGTACGCGTACGCATGCATACATACATACACACATACGCGCGCACACACACACACACACGCGCACACACACACACACGATACACAGCAGAGACTCATCCTACCCCCATCCTTTCCAACGTTCTCCATCACAGCAATCATTTTTACTGTTGCTAGGCAGTACAGGTTGTAATGGTGCTACCCTGCAATGGTGCTACACAAATATCCAACTCTCCAACTATTTTGGCTACTTGACATCTCATCTTGTTGTAGGGACAGAGGTCAATCAATCCACAGCCCATTTCTTTTGCAATCTAAAAAGAAATCTGATTCTATCACTCGTCGCAGTTAATTATCAGGTCATGAACTAAAAACTCTCCAGTGGCTTCTATTTTGCTAGCCTAGAATTCAATATGGAGACATGGCTAGTTTGGTGCGCCCCCAAATGTGGTTGCCTCTGCCTCCAGACAGCTGGAAGCAGCGCTGCAGTGTGCTATCCTGCCTGGCCAAATACCGTTTTTTTTTTTTTTTTTGAGATACCGGGGTTTCTCTGTGTAACCACCTTGGCTGTCCTGGAACTCGCTTTGTAGACCAGGCTGGTCTTGAACTCACAGAGATCCACCTGACTCTGCCTCCCAGGTGCTGGGATTAAAGGCGTGCGCCACCAACGCCCGGTTCTAAATAACTTTTCTTAGATAAGTAGCTCGAGGACGAACTTTTTGCTTTGCTGTTTGATTACTCTTCATCTCCAAGTGCCTGCATACAGCTCAAGAAAGGCCCAATTTGTTACATCCGGCTCTCGTAAACCTTCTGGGAAGAACTCTCATCCCACTGGAAGGAATCTACTCAGGCCCCGGCTGGAGGCTTATGCCCATAATCCTAGCACTTGTGAGGCTGAGGCAGGACTGCCAGGAGTTCGAAATTAGCCCGAGCTACTACACCTGGAGACACCCTCCGCGTACCCCTCTGCCAACACGTTCTAAAAAACCAAGAAACTTCCCTCGAAGTCGTAATGCCGGAAGCACTCCCTCTCACCCTCCACTGAACTGCGGCGCGCAGGGTGGCCTTCCGTCCCGCAGCCAAATGTCGCGCACTCCCGCCAACCCCAGGCCCTCACCCTTCTGCTGGCCGCCTGCCACGCTCCCAGTCTGCATGGCTCCGCGGGAACCTTGGGCCCCAGGCCTAGCAGCAGCTTTCGGCATGTTTGCGTAGTGCGGAAGGTAAAGACACCACTTCCGCTCACTGCACCGCCCAAGCCCCACCCCTTCCGGAAGCCTCAGCCAACGTGGTGAGGGCCCTGGCAGGAGCCCTGCTCCGTAGCCGTCAGACCTCGGGTCTCTTCAAAGCTAGGCTGCGCAGCCAGAGCCTGAGGGCGGCCCCTCTGCCGACTCCACCCTAGTCCCCAGAAACATGACACATGTTTAGAGGTTTTACGTTTTATAAAATCAGAGCTGGCCGATCTTCGGGGGTACAGCAACAGCTCAAGGATGAGTGAAGCTGTCGGTTGGTCCCCACCCCGGAGGGCCGGGGAAGGGGGGGGTGTCATGCCAACAGCTGAGGCTCCTCTCAGCTCCCGGGCAGATGCTCAAGCAGGGAGAGGGACGGTCACGGGGAGGGAAGCTCCTGAGGCTCCGATACTGCTGGCTTCTCCTTCTCCCCACTCCTGTCCCTTGCCAGCACAGCCTGGCTACCCAGCGGGCCTGGGTCAGAGCAATGGCCCAGGAGCAGTGGAGGGAGGTGGATGGGAACAGAGCACCAAGGGAAGGGGCCCTCGGCCCAAGGGAGGAGGAGGACGCCCTCCCCCCAACAACTCCCCACTGAATTCACAGCACAGAAAACACCTCTAGTCCATCAACTCCACGTGGAGGTATACTGAGTCCAGGGTCCAAGGGGCAGGCAGGTGAGGCGGGGCAATGAAGACAGAACGGGCTCAGGAGGGGAGGCAGCAGAACCTTCTTCCTATCCGTGGGAGGAGACAATGGGGCGGCTGATATTGCTGTTGGTAGTCATGGCATTGAGCTCCCACCTGGAAGGCCAACGATGGGCAGAAGACAGAAGAGGTGGTCTCTATGGCAAGCCCAGAATTCTTTGGACGAAGTCAGGAACACAGCAGCCCCTCCGATTTCCCACAGCTACCTCTTCCTTACAGCCCTTTTGGGTTTAACCACCAGATCCCACCCACCACTAAATCCAACACCACCTACTCATCCACCTCCAAGCTCTTGCGGATTTCCTGTTTATGTTTACACAGATTCCTGAATCCAAGCACCTGGATTATGCGTACCCATCTCAGTAAACATCCCAGCATACCTCTCCTGCTCCGCGGAGATCCAGCCCAACAGCCCTTCTCCCTCACCCCACAGGAGCACCCATTCTTCTGTCTATTTCCATTATTTCAAGGTCGTGATTCATACCTCCTGCTCTCCCTAAACTTCAGGGCTTACAGCCTTTCCCATTCACCCCACCAAATTAAATTATGCTTCTAACAATTCTTTCATTCTACCAAGACTCAGGAAACACTCCTTACACTGAGACACTAAACATGTACTCAGGACTGAGGGACTTGCACCTGTGTCAATCCAGAGCCTGCCTGGTCATCAGGTCACCCATCAGCTCGGTGTCACCAGAGGACACACAGACCTCAGCAAGGAAGGAAGGACTGGCTCAAGGACTAGGGACTGTCTCAGAATGGCCAACAAGAGTAAATGATCCGTGGAGTGACATTTGGTGTGTGACTTGAACTCAACACTTGAGTTCAGAGGCAGGAAACCAGGACCTCTCTCAATTCTGGAACTAAGGGGGTCCAGAGACTCTTCAACTTTCTACTTCGCAGTCAACCATGAAATTTACTCAGCCCCTCTCAATACATCACCAAAATAAAAACAAACAAACAAACAAAAAACTGCACAAGGAAGCAGAGCTTCTTCTGAGCATGGTTCAAAAAACGCAAGTTTTTTTCATAGCGCTAACAGCTGTCACATGATGTCACCTCTACCTCCCTTGTTCTTCACAGAAACTTCATCTCCAACAAGAAGTGTCTGTCTTCTGCATATTGAGACTGAGCTAATCGGGTCACACCTGTGCTGGCCACTCACCCTCAACCAACCCCTCCTCTGCCACCACTTGCTTTACCTGATATCATGGGGCAAACAGGACTGGTCCAGGTTATACTGAATCACGGCCAGTTTGCACAGAGTCTTCAGACTAGGGCCTTTAATGCAGGAGTTGAAGAGCAGTCAGAGTAGAGCAAAGGCCCCCTGGTCACCACCCAGAGCCAGAGAACCTGACAGGAGGAGCACTTCAGGAGTGAGTACTTACTAAAGTCCAGGATGTGTAAGTCAGAATGATCTATGAGGTCAAATTCATCTCCCAGGCCTTCCTCAGGAGAGGGGCTGTACAGACCGGAAGAGGAACACGTAGGTGGCAGAACCACCCACAAGGCCCCTTGCTCAGACACCTCCCCCATTTCCCGAGTCCTGCCCTCTCTCCTAACCTGGTACCCCCAAAGAGGACGATCTTATCACCAACAATACAGCAGCACTGGCGCCGGCGAGGGCACGGCCCTTTTCCCTTGGGCTCGATCTTCTTCCAGGTGAAGGACCCTAAAGACAAGTCCATAGAGGGTCAGCCCCCGGCCAAGCTAGACATCACTCAGCCCACCCCAGCCCTCACCTACTCAGTGTCACTCTCTCCTCCCACCTCAACTGTTCCTTGTCCCTCCCCAAGGGTAATGCTCTTTACCAGGATTAAACTTCCAGAGGTCATGGAAGTGCCGGTTCAGCCTTGCATTGTAGCCACCAAAGATGTACAGCTCCCCATTGTAGCCGACTGGAAGGGCAGAGACATGTCAGAGTGGATGGGGATGCACGGGGGAGTCCACAAGAAAGCAACAAGCACTCACAGGCTGAATGGCTCCTGCGCCCCTCAGGCAGCACCGGAGTGTGTGGACAGTCGAGCCAGGCCTCAGTTCTGGTGTCAAAGACTCGTATTCGGTTGCAGTAAATCTCATTGTTGGAATGAAATGGCCCAAAGCGGTCAGCACGGCCCCCAAAGACATACATGTGATTGCCCAGCATTGTGGCTGAATGGAAGTCCCGCCAGCGTGCAGGGTTGCCCTGGCCAAGAGCAGAGAGACAGGGAAGAGGGTCAACATGGGCTCACATAGGGGAAGCTAACTGAGCTTCCTGGGATTTCAGCGACGGGTGGGGATCTAACCGAACAAAGGACAGACCTTTGTGCAAACAAGGGTCCACGTCATGGTGCTGGTATCCAGCTTGTGAATGTCATTGGAAAAGCAGTCTGCCTGAGTGATGAGAAAAAGGAAAAACCGGGTGTCAATGGTTAGTCTTTGACTATCCTTCCAAAGTCTCCTGTTCCACCATGCTAAACTTCCCTCTCTTCTTCTTTTTGGTATAAAACTATAGTTTTTTCCAGACTTACCAGCTGCTCATATCCCCCAAAAATGTACATGATCTTGCCCAGGACACAAGCTGAATGTCCATCCCGGGCCCCAGGAACTGTTCCTGACACTCGGGGTGTAGACCACTTGTGAGTATCTTTTGAAAGAGGAAAGAGGACACAGGTCAGCTGACATGCTCATCTTAATTCTGGCCTTCCCTTCTCCAATACTCCCCGAACCTCCCCTTTCCCAGCCCCACGGCATCATGAGACCTGTACTCACTGACATCAAAGGCGTAGAGTACGTTGCAGGCCCCTTCAGTGTCATTACGCCCACCCCAAAGGAAGACCGTGTCATCGATGAGGACGGTTGAGTGTCCATACCGCATATAGGGTACAACAGGAGCCTGCCCTCGGACGGCAGGCCTCACTGGGGGCAGCTTTGTCCAACGCAAGGACACTGTGGACACAGCTCTGCTCAGCCTGGGAACCTCCCTCCAGGCTGCCACCTTATCCCAAACCAAGCATTCTTATCCAACCCTCCCTGGCCACAGAGACCACCACCAAACTTCATTCGGGTGCCCACTACCTCCCCCTGATGGAGGAGCCCAGGAAAGGTACCAGAACTGGTTTACCTGCGTTGAAAATGTGCACATCTATCTGTCGCAGTGTCTCGTAGTCTTCACCGGAGCAGTAACCCCCGAAGGAGTACACTCGGTGCCCAACAGCCACTGCAGCATGGTTCACCCTGCGTGGCCCGCCCTCCAGATGCACTGTCCACCGTAACATCCCCTGGGCCACAGGTTACAGGAACATGCCCCCCCGGCACGGCCTGCTGCCTCTGCTACCTGTACACAAGTCAGGGCCACAGGTTCCTCAGACAAGGCTTCGCTCGGCTCAATGTGGCTGCCCAGGACCAGTCTTTGCCTCCTGTGTCACCCTAGTGGCCCTCCCACACCACCCCTCTACAGGGACACTAGTCACAGCTCAGGTGGCTGGCCCTGTCCCAGGGGAGCTGCAGAGGTCAAGAAGCTAGCCCTGGCCCTGTGTTCTCCCACAGTGAAGGGTGGGGCCACCTTAACCTGACTGCCAGCTCAGAAGCTGGTGACCATGATCACCCCTACTCATGCCAACTCCACCCTGTCCCTGGCTGGAAACAAGCTCCAAGCCCCCAGTCTCCAAACCCCTTTCCCATACTGGGTGTTCTTGCTTCTGGCTCTGCTTCCTGCCGCCTCTCTAAGAATTTCCCTCCATCTCTTAAAGGTAGGGATCTCCAAAGCCTCCCAGCTATTAATAGCACAGCCAGCCGCAGCCAGTCCACTGAAAGCTGGCAGGTGCTTTAAAGGAAAAAAAAGCTTTCAGGTTTTTAGAATGCAAGTGTCCCTACCTAGGACAGGGAACTCCATGTAACCATGGTTGATTAGCCCCTCACAGAGAGTTCTTGCCAAGCTGATCCGTTGTCCCCGGGGTCACCCAGGGTGCCCACAGGCAGGAGGAGTTTCTCTGACAGCTGTGGCTCTCGTACGCTGCCAGAACTAGAAACTGAAGCCAGAAAGGTTATGTGTACATTGCGGGCTGGGGGAGGGGAGAGGAGTTTTCTCCCTTGCCACTTTCCCAACCTTACTATCCTTAGAGAACAAGCCACTTCCAACAGCTCTTCCCCTGTTACGTCTCTAAAGGAGGGATGGGTGGGGGGTGCACACAGGAAAGAGGAGGGAAGCAAAAATGCCTTTGGGCAGGACAAAGGCCCCAAGCATGAGACGAGCCATGGCCTCTTAAAGACAGCTTGCAAGCCTAGTGATAATGGGTACATCTGAGGGCTCTTTCAGGTAAATCCTTTAGCAACTGGCAATGCCTTTGCCAGGAGACATCTGCTGGGTATGGGCGGATCATCTGCTCCCTGTTCAAAAAGCCTTGGCAGACAGAAAAAACAGGCTCAACCTCAGGCAACAACAACAAAAAAGCAACCAAAAACCCACCTCAAGGCCAGTCCCCCTGCAGGAGACATGTCTTTCATTTGGCTTGCCACTACTGCCCACCCGACCTCCCCCAACCCTACACTGCATACTTTAAATCGCCATCTCTCTCGACCTGAAACAGCAGCAACCAAAAGTTCCTCTCACTTCATTACCCCTGCTCTTAAATCAGTGTTTGTCGGGGAAAGCAGATTCAATTTAAGAACGGAAATCCAAGGCAGGTGTGGCCTTTAATCAATCTCAGCACTGGGGAGGCTGGGGGATGTCTATGAGATCAAGGCCAGCCAGAGCTACATAGTGAGATCCTGTCTCAAAAAAAAAAGGGGGGGGGGAACCTATCATCTCCCTCATAGCTTTCACTCTCCCCTCAAGGTAGTCCAGATAAAATGAAAATGCACACAGATGAGACTATCAATCCCAATGAGAGACGGATAACGAATCCGAGCATCTTCATAGAGATAACTCGAACGCAGGGGTTAAACAGGACCTCTGGGTCTCCAGCATTCCCCACCACTACATCGTCAACCTTCCATTCACTAGATGTACGCTCCCCCTCCCTGACAGCTTGCAATTTTCGCCCTCCACTTGCGACCCTTCCCTCCCCGATATCCTGAGAGCTGGGCAGTTCCCGTTTCCTTCTCCCATCACGGTCCGCACGAGAGCCCTCTACTTCGTCTACCTCCACGAAGAGAAGAAAACATGCACTGCCCCCTTCCAACCACGGTGCTCCTCTCGGAGAATGACTCGACTCCTGTCTTATGCCACCTTTCTCAGCCGCCCCTCCCCCACAACGCCAGACACTGTCCCCTCCCCCTGCCATTATGCTCAGCTTCCTGATTCTCTTCAGAACCCACTCGTCCACTGTCTTTCAGCGCCTCCTCCAGTCACCAGGTCTCTCGCACCCCTCTCCAAACCAGGTCCCCCAAACCTTTCGCTGCCCATTAACACTCCTCTTTCCCAGCATCCCCCTAGCTCCCTCCCCACCCCCATCTCATCCTTCTCAGCCCCTCCCCCGCGACTCCGCGGCAGGCATGGGCGTCGCCAGACCCTCCAATTTTTCTCATCCTTCACCCCATCCCAGGCTACCTGCCAGGCCGGGCCGGGGTGGGGCCGCGGGTCCTCGCGCTGCTGGCAGCCTAGAACCCGTTGCGCGCCAACCGATTCCTCGGTCCCCAACGAGATAAACACTGCCAGGCTTCGTCCTTCCGGCGGGCAGCAGGACGCGCACGTGCAGTGGGAACCCTGGGCCCGACGCCTTCAGGGACTTGTAGTTCACAAGTTACCTCAGGGCCGGTAGGCTGGGGGAGGGCGCGCAGGCGCAGAATACGGCGCGCTCCCGAGGATCACCGGGTAATGTAGTTCTTTGTGGTCCGGGCGGGGGGGATGGCGGAGGCGGGGCAAGAGGCGGACTTCTCGTCCTCGCTTGCGTCAGTCTTGGGCACGGGGCGGGGCTGGAGGACTAAGAGCCACACCACGTCCTGCCCCGCCGGAAGTGAAGGTGCGGGTCCGGCTGTGGGCTCTGAGAGGGTGAGGCGCGAGGAAACACCAACGCCGAGAATCAGTGGGGGCGGGTAGGGGACGGTGCAGCTGGGGCCACTGAAGGGGCACCCCTGGGCTTGAAGGGCTTTTGCCAGGCGGTACTGCGGTGCCCCGGAGAGGGGGGATGAGGGGTGGGGACGCGCTATTGTGGGTAGTCTGGCGACCTGCAGTTAGCAAGCCGGGGAGGGCGTGACGGGAGGGGGCGAGGTTCTGGAAAGGGTCTATTCGGAAGTGGTGAAGCCTTCAGGAATCGGGAGAACTAAAGACTGGTGGGCTCGAGTTCAGTATGACAACCCAGACTTAAGACGACGCAAGAGAGAGAGATGGGAGAGAGGGGGGAGAGGGAAGGAAGGTGCAAGAGCCCTGAGAGAGGGAAGTGGGTTTTATGAATGTAAAAGGAGACTGCAAATCGTGGGATGAAAGAGGACCTGGTTTCATCCCGTCCCTACCCTGCCTTTCTGTCCTTGCAGCCCCTGCCCGGATGGCAGCAGTAGTTCTAGGGGGAGACACCATGGGCCCTGAGCGTATCTTCCCCAATCAAACCGAGGACTTAGGGCCACATCAGGGTCCTACAGAAGGAACTGGGGATTGGAGCAGTGAAGAACCCGAGGAAGAGCAGGAGGAAACAGGAGCAGGCCCAGCAGGCTACTCCTACCAGCCGCTCAATCAGGATCCTGAACAAGAAGAGGTGGAACTGGCACCAGTGGGTGAGGGAGAAGATGGAGCTGCTGACATCCAAGATCGGATCCAGGTATGGTGGAGGAACAGTTCCTAAGCAGCTGAAACAGAACTACCAAGAGTTGGATGCAAATGATCTTCTCTCTGGTTCTGCAGGCCCTGGGGCTTCATTTGCCAGACCCACCATTAGAGAGTGAGGATGAAGATGAGGAGGGAGCTGCAGCATTGAGCAGCCACAGCTCGATCCCCATGGATCCAGGTAAAAAAGCGCATTCTTTCATTTGGGAATAATTATGAAGGAAATAGATTGCTTTAGAACCAGTAAGAAGAGTTAGAGAGCCACCTTACTCTTAAAAAGAAGGTAGTTTGCAGACTTCAGGATCCAGGTGAAATGCTATTCAGCTAAAGTTGGGTGGGTAGATTTGGCTATAGTGTGGGAGTGGCGACTCCCATTTTCTCTATCCCCTAACCAGCCTGCGGCTGTGCTTTCAGAACACGTGGAGCTGGTGAAAAGGACGATGGCAGGAGTAAGCCTGCCTGCACCAGGGGTTCCCGCCTGGGCTCGGGAGATATCGGATGCTCAGTGGGAAGATGTGGTACAGAAAGCCCTCCAAGCCCGGCAGGCATCCCCTGCCTGGAAGTAACCACAGAGAGCTGCCTCGTCTCCCTACGTTCCAAGCCAGGACCAGCCCAGGACTAACACAACTCTGGTTTTAACATCCACCTTCCCATGTCCCTTTTCACATCAAGGCAAATCAGACCTCTCAGAGACCCACTTTATTCAGTTCTGTACATATGGGGACATTGGCCCAAGCCCAACCCACCTCAGCATGTATCACTCTGTGGAGAATAAAGCACCCTATGTACACAGCCAAAAGCTGCACTGCCTGTGCCCCTGAAACCTGGTCCAGCCCTCCCCACCCTTGCTTTTCTGAGTGCCCAAAGGGTACAGGTGAGGCCTGCCCAGCACCAGCATAAACAAGGAAATAAATAGGTGTTGCAGGGAGCCATGCTTGGGGCACTGCTCCTGCTTCCTTCTTTAGAGCTTTGGAACCAACAGCACAAAGGAAAGCAGTCAGCCACAGGGTGGTCCCTTCCATATTTGTGATCCCAGGACTGCTGCTTACCAAAGAGGGGCAAAGTAGATGGTTCATTCTCCCCACCTTGGCCCACGGGGCCCTATATTCATCTAGTGTCCATACACTTTCTGACCTCTGTGCTGTCCTGGTTAGGCAGAGGATAAGGGGTAATACACCACCGTCCCCTGCCTGCATCATGCTAGGGCTAGGGGCCTATTTGTGCTGCTGGGGGTTGGTCCCTCCAGCTCTTCACTCCAGGGGCCAATGGAGCTTGATGTAACTTTGGTGACACTCTCCTGCTTTACCCTGCAGTGGAGAGGAGAGACACCTCAAGTTCACATGAGGATGAAGAGGACAGGAGAGGAGCATGTAATTCCTGTGTTTGTGTTTCTCAGAACAGTTTCAGGTAGCTGTGGGGTTAGGAGCAGGGGGACAGGCACCCCCAGGTTGTCTAAGCACTGAGCACTCAGTGCTCAGCCTGTCTGTACTAGCCACAGGGAGGCATGAACACATTTAGGGGAGAAGAGGGAGCCCTCTGAGCATCCCTGCTTCCAGTGCCTGCATCCTCTAGAGTAGCCAGAGAGGTGCTGTTTTGCCCCAGGTCAGCCAATAAGGAGCAGAGGGTGGAGGGCCGGGCTGCGTCCCAGGGCTGAGTGGGCTGTAACCCTGTGGGGAGGGGAGGGGAGGGGTCAGAGAGCCTCCTGGCTAGCAGTCAGGAACTCTTCTGCCCGCTTGTGTGCCTCCAGTGCCTTGATGGTGTACACATCCTGTGGCAGCTCTGACTTCCTCCGCAGCAGCACTTTCTCCTTCTTGATGTCCTTTAGCATCTGGGTATGGACAGGGAGGAGGCCGTGGTGACCAGTTCCCAAGGAACGCCCCTTTCTCCTGTTTGGTCCTGCTGGCCTCTCTCCTCTGTCTCCTAGAACTGTTAGTGCTATGCCAACCTGACCCTTGCCCCTGGTGCCCTCTCACCTGCACGGCCTCTGTTTCCACTGTCCTCTTCAGAAGCTGGATGTCCTCTGCTGTGGGGGTCTCTGTCTCCATGGAGTACACAGGGGGCAGTGGTGGAGGAGCTCGGAACATAGGGTACTGAGAGGGCAGGGTACGGACACACGGTGAGCACTTCAGAGCCGTTTGCCTCATCCTTCCTGAATCTCTCCCCAACTCTAAAGGACCGTCCGAGTCAGGGCGCTGGCAGAAAAGCCTCACCTGGGGGTTGAGCCGTGCCAGCTCCTCAATCTTCTGCCACATTTCCTCTCTTTCCTTCATTCGGAACCGGCCCCTGTGGGAAGGAACAGTCAGGTTGGAATTGGGGACAGTGAGCTGGAGGCTGGAGATAGAAAGTAACAATCCTCTTAGGAGAGAGAGAGAGAGACTCACTTCTGCTTCTCTGCCTTGTACTGTTGTGTACAATCATCAAACAGCTTCTGGTTCATTTCCATGAACAGCTTCAGGGCGTTGTAGATCAGTCCATGGATTGTCCTGCCATCCAGAGAAAGATGGTGTGCACGAGACCAGGGCCTGCCGCCAGTGCCATAACCCCAACTGCTTGTTTCCAAGTGTCTCTGCCAAAAGCTTTTCCATTTCCTGTTCCCCTCACAAACTCTACACTGTAGAAGCAGCTAACTCTTGACTAAACCATGGAGCTTTGAGAGCATTTGATGGTCCTTACAAATACTGGCCCTGCAATCATACGCTTGCTTTCCCTGCTCGTGCTCCACGGCTTCCCAGGAACCGGAGGACTGTCAGCACCACACTAAACTTACCTTCCGCAGGAAAGCCTTCTATAACTTGGACTCCTCACAGGTTTTTAAGCATACCACAGCATGCCACACAGTTCCCTCCAGTCTAGAATGTCTCCAAGGCTGTGGTATCAAACAGCTCAGCTATTTGGTATTGCAAGGATGTCTCATTAGCACCTATCCTTGCCAGTCAGCTCCTCAAGGACCTACTTAGTAATATTTGGTGGGCACCAGCTCTGCTTGCTGAGTGGCCAGGTGAATTCCTATCTCTTGGGTTCTACACCCTCAGCGCTTTGAAACCCAGGTCCCACCATCAGCCCAAACTCAGTGCCCTACTTGTTCCAGTGGCTTTTGGAGTTCCGATAGAGTGCAGGAAACATGATCGGGAGGACTCGGGCAGCGTTGTCGCTGATCAGGCTCATGATGTATTCATTGTTCCAATAGTAGAGGGCGCGCTCTGCCACCTGGCAAGGAGAAGCGCAATCAGTGGGCACTCCCTGTGGTCCTCAAGACCTGCTCTGCCATGTCTAGGAGACAGCGGGTCTGGTCTCACCTGGAAATGGGGGCTGGAGACACACTTGGCAAGCTGGCGGAAGAGGGGCTCCATCACTTTGCTGAATTCTGAGGGTTCAATGACATCCAGAATCTCCTCTAGCTCGTTCAGAAACATCACTTCCTTGGGGCTGTGGGTCTTAGGCCAAAATTTGAGAAGTCCCACAATCACCTGTGAAGAAGACGTGAGGCTAAAATTCCTAACACTGCTCAGTCCTCTGGGAAGCCTTTGTATTGCCTTGACCCACATCTACCCTCACCTAACCACATGGCTTCTCTGGCTTGAGTCAGTTTGCTGAGTATATAGGTTTGGGCTCCCTTGAGAGGACCCCACCTCCCTCAGTCCTCCTGGGGTCCACTTACAACCTCATTCAGTAGTTAGAGACTGGAGCTAGAGGTGTTGCTCAGTCATAGGAGATACACCCGAGATGTACAAGCCCTAGGGTTGATGGCCAGTGTCACCAACACCAGAAACAACCAACAGGTACAGATAGGCGAGCACGGCTGACGCCCGGGGCCCCAGAAGGGAACTTACCGGCTCGGTGAGACTGCTCTCCTTCTCCAGGAACTGTACCACACAGTATGCCAACTGCAAAGGGTTGAGGATGGAAGTGAAAATGCAGCTCTCAGAAAGCCTCAGCACTCAGTCACAAATGCGATCCCAGAACGGAAGGGGAGGTGTAGAGGATTCCCTACCACCACCCTTCTGTGTCAGCAGGAATCCCTTCCCTCCCCTTTGTCTCTGATGCTCAGGTAAGGGATCCTCAGAGGCAGGCAGCTCACCTGAGGGTGGTATACACTCAGGGACTTGACCTTGTGAAGTGGAAGCAAGACACGGATGAGAAACATCTTGTGCTCTTCCTTAAGGGGCAAGGCAAAGCCATTGATGATGCTAGAAGTCGAGGGAGGTTTTTAGGACCGAAGGCCTTCACATTCAAGCTCCGTGTGCCCACCCCCAATCTTGCATGGCCTCTGCACCCCCCTCACCTGCCGAGGATCTCCAGGAGCTCAGCAATCCCATTGTGGTGTTCAGTCTCATAAATGAACCTAAGGGAAGAAGGTCCTCTGGACACTACCCTCCAGCATTCTGCAGTCTCCCCTGCCTTCCTGTTCCCATCCCACCACAGCAGGGGAATGCTCCTCTCCCAAGCCTGGAATCATTGCCTCACCTGTAGAAGATGTGGTTGATCTGCCTACGAATATACGCCCGGAGCCCCAAAAACTTGCCATAGATGCGATGCAAAATGGTCTTGAGAAAGTCCCGCTCTCGAGGGTCCTCACTATCGAATAGGTCCAGGAGCTAGGAGCAGAAGGATAGAAAAGGCAGAGGATGAGGCAGCAGGCAGAGAAGGCACGGGCTGGGGTCGCAAGGTACAAGGTTCTAGCCGTGCCCAACGTTCTCTGGGGAATGGAGTCAAGTCTCTGAAAAGTGATTTTATTATATGGCTCATTCAATTTGCTATCTGGGTATGCATGTTTATACCCCACTGAGTGGAGAGAGATATTTTGTTCTTTTTCCCCCCAGTTACACTGGAAGTTTCTTTGGGAGCCTTGTACTAGACACAGCTGAACCCCCAGGACATCAGAATAAGGGAAAGGAGCAGGCAGGACACAGGTAGCGGGTGGTGAGGTGGGGTACAGTTCAAGGGGAGGGCAGGAGACTCAGACTCACAGCAAGTACAAACTTCTGGTCAATATACTTCTTGGCTATGTTTGGCTGGAAATCTGGAGACTCCAAGAAACGTAAGAAAAACTCATAAACAAGCTGTGGAGGAAAAGAAGTTTCACTGGGACCTGATCCAAGGACTGAGAGCTGCCCCCTTACTGCAGTCCTGAGTGACCCTGTGTCCTCCAGCCAGACCTAGCCTATCCCTTTGCCCTAGTACCTGGAGATGTGGCCAGGCAGCTTCCAAGGTAGGCTCATCTTCCTCAGGGTCAAACTCGGCTCCTGTGGGATTCGATGAAGGTGGCAGCGTCCGGAAGAGATTCACTGAAAACTGAGGGGTGAGCCCAGCTTAGAGCGCTGTCTGGGCTTCCCCAGGAGCTCCCATCCCTCCCCCTTGTATCTTTTCCCTATGCCCACCATGGTGACAGCCTCCGGGTAGATGGCCTCAGTGACAACATCGCGGCTGTGGGTGATATACTCCACCATCTCGTTGAGTCCTGCCCGCTTCACCTCTTTGAATTTGAGGTCGCTGAGCGGGTCTGACACAAAGTCAAAGAGGACGCAGCACTGGCGTAGCTTCTGGATAAAGAGCTCCTCGCGCTCCTGGGTGGGCGAATCTGTGGAGGTCTCAGCGGTCAGGTGTGCCCCATCATTCTTCATGCGTGTCCCACTGCCTCTGCAGATCGTCCCTCCCCGCCCTGCCACCATGCTGCTCCCGGCACGTGTCACAGTTGAACCCCCATGTCTATAGAACACCCTTTTCCCGAAGACAGACTCCTAAACCAATGTCCATGGCCCACAGCCAGTTCACAGTCCCTCTCCATCTGGCAGTACCTTTCAAGGCAGGAAGCTTTTGTAGCTCCCTGTTCTTGCTGAGGTTGAAGCGGGAGGAGCTCTGCCGTCGTTCTTTCTTGACAATCTGGGGTCCCCCTGAGTACTTGATTTTGCTGAGCTGTGTTGGGGGTGGTGTGCTGTTGCTGGGACGCTTGTTGGATGATGGTGGCTGAGACTGAGGTTGGGGCTGGGCCTGGACAAAAAAGTAATTTGTTGAATCCAGTTCTCCAAGAGATGCCCTCTACCCTGGCCTTGACCATCCCATCCTGTAGCTCAAGTTTTCCTGGTCCTGCCTGGCCCATGGTCAGGACAAATCGATTTCACCCATCAGTCCCCCAGCCAAGTGAGCACACAGACTTTTATTACTTATAAACTGTATGGCCGTGGCAGGCTTTTTGTTATCTAGTTTTTTTTTAATCTTAAATTAACCCATTTTTATTAATCTATAAGTTGCCACGTGGCTCGTGGTTTACCGGTATCTTAACATGTTGCTTCTCATCACAGCAGCTGGTAGTGTCTCCCTGCCTCAGCCTTCCACTTCCCAGCATTCTCCTCCCTCTTTGTCCCACCTATACTTTCTGCCTGGCTACTGGCCAATCAGCACTGTATTTCTCAATCAATCATAGCAATACATTTTCACAGCATACAGAACATCCCACAGCACCATTCCTGGCCTGTTCATGCTTGTAGAGAGGTAGTGAGCTGTCCTTGTCAGGTACGCCAGGGACAGATATAACTGTGGTTATAGCTCCAGAATACAAGAGCCAAGAAGTCCTATCAGTGTATCAACAGCCTTCAAAGTGGTCGTGTCGTAAGGAGGCAAAAGTGATTGGGTGAATGGTGACAGAAATCAGAAAAGTAGTTTTCAGGGCCAAAGATCTGCTTAGCAGTAGAGTGCTTGCCTAGTGTGTGCAGAGCCGAGTTCAGTCCTCAGTATGGGGAAATACAATGTCAGTCCGAGCTGCAAGAGCTGACCTAGAGGAGACACGAGGCATCTTCTGAACAATGGAAACACTATGTCTTGAGGACATTTGGGAGGGGTAGCCCAATGTGTAGGATACCTAACAATTCTGAAGTACACTTCAGATTACTGAATGTTCTATACCCTTCAATTAAAAAGAGAAAGAAATTCATTCTTAAGTCTTAGCAGCTTACCAGAAATTTAGTTTAATAAAAATCCTAGCCGGGCAGTGGTGGCACATGCTTCTAATCCCAGCACTTGGGAGGCAGAGGCATATGGATCTCTGAGTTCAAAGCCAGCCTGGCCTACAGACCAAGTTCCAGGCCGGGCAGAGTTGCATAGTGAGGCCCTGTCTCAAACAAACAAAAGGCAGCCGGGCGGTAGTGGCACACGCCTTTAATCCCAGCACTCGGGAGGCAGAGGCAGGTGGATCTCTGTGAGTTTGAGGCCAGCCTGGACTACCAAGTGAGTACCAGGAAAGGTGCAAAGCTACACAGAGAAACCCTGTCTCGAAAAACCGGAAGAAAAAAAAAAGAAAGAAAGAAACAAAAGGAGAGTGGCTGGGCTGGAGCAGCTTAAGAGCACGGGCTGCTCCTCCAGAGGACCTCAGTTTGATAGTTGGCACCCACAGCACAGCCTACAAATGCCCGTAACTCCAGCTCCAGCTCTAACACCCTCCTCTGGCCTCCAAGGGCACCAAGAATACCCATGGCACGCAAACATACATACAAGCCGGCAAAACACTCATACACATAAAAACAATACATCTTTTTTTGCTTATTTGGGTTTTCCAGACAGGGTTAATCTGTGTAGCCCTGGATGTCCTCCCTAAAAATAATAACTCTTAAGGCAAAAAACAAAAAACCTGGCTATTATGCACACCTGTTAATTCCCAAATTAGATGGCGGACACGAGAGGATCAACAACAGTGCAGGCCAGCCTGGACTGCACAGCAAGACCCCGTCCAGACAACAACAAACCCACTGAACTGAGGGAGCTTGGCGGCACACACCTGGGAGTCAGCTGTTGGGAGGAGGAAGCCTGAGCAACTGAGGGAGCCCGACGCAAGGTTAAGAGGTGCAGACACACATCTCCACAGCAGAGCATTCGCCCAGGCCTACGTTCAATCCCCAGTACAGCAAAAATAAATAAAAACAATTAAGTCCTTCGAAACCTGTGCTCTCTCTGGATACAAGAGAATGAAAGACAACAGAGTCTGGCCCAGGTGGGGGGGGGGGGGGGGTGTCCCAGCCTAGTTCATTACCACGGTGGCCACCTGGCTCTATAGAAAACTGGCTTGACTGGAGGTCTGACTCAGGTAACACAGGAAGGGGACGGAGGAGGCACATACACCTCTGTGTGACCAGGAATGAGCCAGTGTCATTCGAGACAATGCAGGGTGTGCTGGACTCTGGGGGCTCCCTCTCTACAGTCAGGAGGGATGACACCTTGAGGGGAGAGGGGAGAGAAGAGGTTGGGAGGTTAGTGTCTGGTGAACATGTAGACCCTCCCATGCCAATTTGTATCTTGCTTGCCTGCCTGAGAAAAACCAAACTCTCAAGAACACACTAAAAGCCAGATGTGGTGGCGCACGCCTTTAATCCCAGCACACAGGAGGCAGAGGCAGGTAAATCTCTGTTGAGTCTGAGGTCAGCCTGGTCTACAGAGTGAGTTCCAGGACAGCCAGGACTGTTTCACAGAGAAACCCCGTCTTGAAAAACCGAAAAAAAAAAAAAAAAATGGAAACAAGGAGTGCCTGGCACACAGCAAGTGCTCTGTAAGTACCTGCTGCTGTTCTTGCTGCTGCTGCACCTGTGACCATTTTTATTTCTATACCTGGGTCCTAGGAATATGGCACCCTGGAAATGCCTCCCCAAGGCAACCCCATCAAATGTTCCTTGGAGTCCACTATCCCCCGTCTCAGGGAAGCACACCTCTTCCAAAAAGCTGAATCAGCTCACTGTGGCCCTTGGGGCTCACCTCAGCTTTCTTCAACTGTCAGTCTGTTCCATTGCCTCTGTAACCACTCACTCCCTCGTGACACCTCTTCCTTAATCTATTTATGTGTCATTCCCTTCAAAAAGATCAGTGGTGCTCAGCCTTCCTAACACTGCAGCCCTTTAATACAGCTCCTCATGCTGTGGTGACCCCCAACCAGAAAGCTATTTTCGTTGCTACTTTATAACAATAGCTTTTGAATTGTAATGTAAATATCTGCAGAATATCTGATATGTGACCCCTGCAAAAGGTCATTCTAACCCCCCCAAGGGGTCATGACCTACATGTTGAGAACCAATGAACTAGATAACTAATTTCTTTTTTTAAAGAAAAGATTTATTTATTTATTTATTATGTATACAGTGTTCTGCCTCCATTATGCTTGCAGGCCAGAAGAGGGCGCCAGATCTCATTACGGATGGTTGTGAGCCACCATGTGGTTGCTGGGAATTGAACTCAGGACCTCTGGAAGAACAGCCAGTGCTCTTAACCACTGAGTCATCTCTTCAGCCCCCTAATTTCTTTTTTTTTTTAAGATTTATTTATTTATTATGTATACAGCATTCTGCCTGCATGTATCCCTGCCGGCCAGAAGAGGGCGCCAGATCTCACTACAGATGGTTGTGAGCCACCATGTGGTTGCTGGGAATTGAACTCAGGACCTCTGGAAGAGCAGCCAGTGCTCTTAACCTTTGAGTCATCTCTCCAGCCCCCGCCCCCTCATAATGAATTTCTTGAAAGCCAGGGCCCTGGTTTGTACTCCTCTGGGCATCCCTAGAAGTAGCATCTAACAAGCATTCATTGATGTTTGGTTGGCTGAACAGGAACAAGCCTCCTCCCTGCAGGCCCTCCTTGTCTTATCTCCATAGAAGTTCTCAGAGCACTGGTGGGGTCACACACCATGAGGAACTGTATTAAAGGGTCGCAGCGTTAGGCAGGTTGAGAACCGCTGTCTTGGAGCAGCTCTATGCAGCAGCAGCAGCGTCGAGTAAGGGTGAGGAACACACAAGACCCCAGCACCCTGACAGACCTCACACTGCGGGACCACTCTGAGAAAAAAAGGTGCTCTTCCCGAGACAGAAAAGCAGAGCCATAATTTTCTGTTGACAAGAAGGGAAGTGAGCTAGATCAGTCAGGCGTGGCGCTGCACACCTTTAATCCCAGCACTCAGGGCAGGAGGATCTCTGTGAGTCTGATGCCAGCCTAGTGTGCGTAGTGAGTTCCAGCTAGAGCTGCATAGTGAGACCCTATCTCACAGAAAGAAAAAAAAAGTCATCTAGATCAGTAATTTTCCAACCTCTGTCCAAGTAGGGTTTCAAGAGAACACAGAGTTGTATGGTGTAAAAATAAAATGTCCAAGGCTGGAGAAATGACTCAGTGGTTAAGAGCACTCATGGGCTGCTCTTCCAGAGGACCTGGGTTCAGTTCCCAGAACCCACATGGCAGCTCACAACTGTCTGTAACTCCAATTCCAGGGGATCCAACACCTTCACACAGACATACATGCAGGAAAACACCGATGTACATAGATAAATAAATCATTTAAAAGAATAAAATAAAGTAAAATGTTGTGGTGGCACTCTGAGTTCGAGGCCAGCCTGGTCTACAGAGGGAGTTCCAGGACAGCCGGGAACACAGAGAAACCCCACCTTGAAAAACCAACAAACAAACTGTCCAAAGCCAGTCACACTGAGACTGCACTGCTGAGTGCTGGAGTGGCTGGAGAGTCTGAGGGGCATCTGCTTCATCTCACTCAGTCACTCCAGTCTTTGTTTTGTCGTTTGTCTGTGTGTGTGTGATGTCGATGCACATGTTCATGTGTGTGAGTGCACTGTGTGAGGACACAGTGTCACAGTGGGTATATGGATGTCGGAGGACAACAACCATCCATCTTGTTGGAGGCGGGGTCTCTTCTTCACTGTGCACATGCCAGGCTGATGGCCTGTGAGTTTCCAAGAGTTCTGTCTCCAGCTCCCCTCTTGTAGTTCACTGGCATTACCAGAGCGCACCTCGTCAGTCTTTACATGTTCCAAGGATGGAGCATAGCTATGCTGTGTCTAAGTGCTTATCTACTGAACCATCTCCCTAACCCCAGCTCTAGTTTTTAGAAGGACCACTGGTCGGCCCCCAACACAGGAACCAACCCGGGAGACAGCAAGCCCATCTAGTAGAGTCCCTGATGACCAAGGCCCAGTGAGGCCATCTCCTGTTTGTCTACCCTTCACATGCTTGTC